GTTAACACATTAACGGCGGGCGATCTCGACGAAAGTATGCTAGGTAGCGCAGCGGCCGCCCGCCTCGTTTTTCGGCCTAGAGCGGGCGATATTTTGTGTGATCATAAAAACTTTAAGGTACAGTTGAGCTAAATGGTATTACTACGACTCCCGCCTTTAAGCCGCAGTCAAGATAAATCGTAGTACTACGACTCCCGCCCTTAATGTGTTAATATTACCGATTAACTCCTTGACTAGTAGAAACGCAATATTGTGTTTACAAAAAATAGCCCAGACCAGCAATATTGCGTTTTGATATTTCTGATAGTCCAATATCTCTAACATTGGAATTCAAAGATTTTTAGAGTCGCAAGGAGTTAACAAAAAAAAAAAGAAAATAGCGAAGGCAATTGAATTGCGTTCAATTAAGTGATCCTGCTGCACAAACGCGACATCCCTAAATTCGATAAAAACGAAAATCTCGATAAAAAAAGAGATGTTGGAAATAGACACGGAGCGAGATATAAATGACTGATTGGCCGTTCGGATTTCTTCTTTTTTATAACATTCTACATATTTTTATTTCATAGAATTATATGTGTCAGTATATAGATGGAATTTTCTCTATGAATTATGCTAAATGTATCAATCTAATCAACAGTCGCGTAATTTATATACGTAGTATAAGTATACTGGTCGTTCGAATATTTTCTTTAAAATACTTCAGTTTCCGCTTTTGTCGCCTTCTCCTTAAATCTTCTATTTGCACTGGCATTGATGAATTGACGCAAGATCGATTACTGGGTTATTGGGATGTCCCGGCGCGCGTGTACCACGTACACCCGCGGACGGGACTCGTCGCGCGTTACATTATGTACGTCGAGCTCGCGCGCGTTTCGTCACACGCGTTTCGTCGTTGGTAAAAAGAGGAAAATATTGACGGACGTTCGCATCACACCGTAAATGCATCATCACACTATCTACACGGAATGTCACCTCGTACACATCTCGCCCGGCTAAATCGGGGCTATTGCACAACGCGACTGAAGAAGGCATTTGTCGTATGTTCACTTCGCCGTGACGAGGCCTGTGTCAATTCTGTGAACGAATGAACACGTTTGTTGACGTTTTATCTAGTAAGTAAACGCTCCACGCTCTCATCCCTGTCCGCTATTTGCGGGGATCTGATACCTTATCGTGATATATCATCGAAAAACACGCACACGTAGGCCTTCTTCGCGGATCCGCTCAGGTCGCAGACTCTTCTACGACGTAATCAGTCGAACGACATGTTGTGCGTTGCGACCACTTATTGCGTGTCAACGTGCCTGAGGATCCTCTTCTTCCCCGTCGTTTTTCTCTTCTTCCTCTTCCTCCTCTACGGATTCCCACCCGTCGCTGAATGCAACGTGGCGCTTCCGGCCGAGCGATTACCTGCGGACGACAGCAACAGGTATCAGACGGGCGTCTCCGGGTTGTCCCAGTGGTCGTCGGCCAACTTTTGCCGATGATACGGTCGTACGTCGCCGGAGGACGTCTCCCGTATCACCAGGCCGACGGTGTCCGAGTAATCCAGCTCTATGCAGCGCTCACCGTCCCGGGGTAGACTCCTGTTGGAGGACGGCGAGCTGCTGTTCTCCGCGCTGTTCTCGTGCCTGAAGACGCTGTCCGACTGGGAGTGCGTCGGCGTGGACAGCTCGGACACCAACGGCGTGGACTCGTCGTCGCTCTCGGCGCCGGGTGCCGATGAGCTCTGCATACCGCCGCCGATCAGGCGGTCTTTCAACTTGGACAGTTTCTCCAGGCTGGAGGTCGGCATCGATATGACGACCTCGTCGTTCGAGGACGTCATCGAGGACGGGCGCTTCTTCTTCGCCGAGGCCATCGCCGACGACGATGACGTGCTCTTGAGCGGGATGTTGTTGCCCATGCATCTCTCGTCGGTGGACTTGGAGCGGAACGCCGGTTTCGGCGACGGCGGCGGTGAGACGAAGAGCGAGGACGGCCTGGTACTGACGTTGCTGCAGGTCCTCTTGAGCGGCTTGTGCGAGCAGGCGGACCTCGTGCTACGCTGGGAGGCGATGCTACGCTGGGAGTTGGTGCGCTGAAGGAACACCGTGGAGTCGTGCGAGCTCTCGTCCGAGCTGTCCGGCTCGTCGCTCACAGGCATCCAGTGGTACAGCGGACTGGCCTGCAGCAGCACGTACTCCGTGTCCGGGATCGGGGCAGCGGTGGCTCCTGAAACAGAGACTGGTTGTAGAGTACGCTCCGCGTGCGTGCACAGTGAGGGATTTTGTTTTAAGAAACGTCCGCGGAAATGTTTGCGTTACTCTAACGTGGGGGAATGTGTTGAAAAGAGTATACAAATATAATGCTACATCGATTAATATTCATTTCCCAGTAAACACAAACTATCAGTAACGCGACATCGATATTATAATTTTCCACTCGACAATATAACTGTACGTTACGTAACACACGCGTTGTATTGTTGAGAAATTACATTGTTGAGAAATAGGAAATTGTAACATTGATGTTGTGTTACTGTTGATCGGTGTTTACTAGATTGATATTATTTTTTAACATATTCATCTTGTTGAAGTAACGCAAAGTTTCAGCGGGCCATTTTTCACAAAATTGTTTACTGTGCATGAGACCGAGATGTTTTTCTTAAAATATACGTCTCTCCTTTCTCATCATCGCGGGTCTCATCCGCGCGAATGGCAAAACCGACTCGAAGGCGCACGAGAGAGGCGCGAGAGAAGTGAACTTCGAAGCGGACGAGTTCCTGTTCCGATTGACAGATGAGGTCTCTCGAGTGGAAGTATGAGTCGTGAATAAGAATGAAGAGAGTTTACTTCTCTCCCACGCGATTCTCCAATTTCTCAATTCCTCATTCGCTCATTGACGCCTTTTCGTTTTCGTCACAGTGAAAAATCGTCTACGCGAACGCGCGCTGCCAGATACAAACTGCAAAGAAGGTAATGTCCAGATGTGTCAGTTTGCAAGAAGATTTTATTGCCACTTACTCTCGTCACATAATACTGCTGGTTAACATAGCGCTAACATAATCTGTAATAGTAATATTCGTAGTGTACACATAGTACAGGAAATATATGGATCGGAATAGCGGGGAGCAATTCCCGCGAATTTCGTTCGATACTACCATCTCATTACACGTCAGAGAGAAATTGTAAAAAAAAAAAAAATATTTATATATATATAATAAATCTGTCATCGCGCCACCGACGGGGTCCAGTGTCGCACCATAAGGAATATTCTATTTTAGATAAATACGTAACAACGAACAATTTTTTTTTATCACAGTCTTTTGTACATGTATTCCTCGCGAGAATAACACCAAACAACAACCAAACAACATTTAGGTCATCTTTAAGTATAGCATTGAGTAGTGCCCTTGATATTTACACATCTTTCTTTCTCTCCCTATGTTTCCCATTTTTTCTGCTGTAATGTACAAATGCAAAAGCAATGTTTGGTGTGGTGTTCGCCGTTCGAATTTCGAAGATTTCCTCTGAGGTAACCAACTGATGTACAATTTAAATAATATTATACAATTTCGAGAGTTTCGTAACGCAATTCTCGTCTCCGCTTTCTCTCAGAATATGGTACTGTTGTAAGTATATGTTAAGAAAGAATGAGAGAGAGAAAGGGGGAGGGAGACGGAGAGAAAAATGTTTGAGTGGTGTATAAAATCAGCATTATATTACACTAATTCTACGAATACGCATACAATCATGTCCTAATCTTACTTAACGTATCGTTATCAAATGACCTTCGTTTCTCGGAGTTCCTCTCTCTCTCGTTTTTTGCGCGATATGTGTAACTACCTCTCGCATTGGCACGTTTTGTGAGGGCTTTAAGAGGATGAGTATACATCGGACTGCTCGAAAAGTTTGCTCCAAGGGATAGCCTCTCATACCCGTAACTTACAAATGGTACGGACAGTATGTTTGTATCGCAATGTAAGCAACGTATCGATTTATTGGCTGCGGCGGTATTTGTTCATCTCTTGTCACTTGTACTGTCAGGTAGTGTTCCACCAAGCGAATGCATATGTTGTATACCGTCATTCAAAAAGAAAAAAAAAAACGAATACGACGAAGTACGCACATCGATTCGATCTTTTTTTTTTCGACTTTTTCCTCTTTATCCTTCCTTCAATATCACGAGTTGGCAACGATGTAATGTAACGCGAATGACAATATGTATATAATATTATATAATATGCATATATTGTACATATTTATATATATACACATATGTATATTATTATATATTATAGAAAAAAAATATATATATTTATTTATATTTATATATTTATATATATATATATATATTTAATTATTTATTTATTTCGCGAATGTAGTGGTGAAATTACGCTGGAAAATGATTTTCATTCCTTCACATGAAACATGAGCGGATTAGCCTCTATATGGCGGATTATACATAATCGTGTGATCGTCCGATCTGATTCGATTACACATTAGAACTGTACTCGACGAAGGTGTCACTGCTTTGGAAGGTTGCCTGCGGTGCTTCTTGAACTATGACCAGAGGCACTGTAAGGGAAGGGGGCTCACCTGAAAGTGAGTCTGTTGGTACCACTACTGGCACTGGTATGTCTAACACATCCTCGCAGGCTTCCTCGTTCAAGGTCTGCAGAGCACCGCAAATCATTTGCTCCTCCAACGTTACCTGAAACGCGTACATACGCTTAGCGTTTAGCGTAATATCCACGTTAAATTGTGTTTAAATCTAACACCCAGGGAGATTTCTAAACGTCGCGAGAGGTGACTGTAGGTAGATCGACTTACCTGGAACTGATATCGAGCGCGAATGCAAATAAACGGGAATTAAAAATAACATTAATCTCTCTGTGACGTTCACTTAACTATGAAAAGTCATGTGCTTAACAATGGCATCATACCTGTTTCTCCATGATAGACTGCTTGTTTTGGTCCCGACGGGACGATCCGTCCGTCCTCGACGCTCCCTTTTCTTTTTCAGTGTGAGCGCTTGGACGTATTGAATTGTTTTGCAAATCTACAACGAGCGAAGACAGGACAGGTTGAATCGAATCGAACAAAAGAGAAACAGTGAAAAAGAGTGGGAGATTGAATGAGAGGGGAAGGGACGGACGGAAGAGAAACGTCGAGCATACCTTTCCGTGTGGATTGTTCGGATCCCATAGTAAATCGAACATTTCTCGAAGTCTCGTCGCATATTATAAACGACGAGAATTCCATTTCCCTGAGCGACACAAGAACCATACGAAAAATTTCCCAATCTCCAAATGCCATTTTAAACACCTATTAAAGAAATACGAATACTCATTAATATTTAAACATATCTGAATTACCTTTTTAAATATATATATATATATATAAGTCCGGACTCACAATAAGTAGTAAGCTTTTAGTCTTCTACTCTAAGCAAATGTGACGTAATTTCCGACGAAAGGCGTTTCTCACGCTGCCAAAAGTCGCAATACCGTTTAAATCTTAGGAATTGCAACGTCTGGTAGTACTGGAAACGCTTTTTGCTAGAAATTACTAATAATGATGTTACTGTTAATTGATGTTTACTGGATTAGTGCTACGAGAGTTACCTTTTTCAGCTCATTCAGATCGCAGTGTAGTAGAACTCGTCCGTTGATATTGCTTTCCTTAACGATGTGTTTATATGTTGGAATTTGAGCTGGATTCATATTGTCGATCTTGTCGATCAGTTCACAGACCCCGTTCACTGACAAAGACGACAGCTTTATCTCCATCATTTCGGACTGAAAAACAAAAGCGAAACGGTAAATTATTTACCGTGCCAAGTTAACGTTAGTGCGAAACTGATCGCGCACCGGTAGCATGGGTATTGTTGATTTTGGTAGCATGGGTATTGTTGGTTTCGATAACGACTCTGAAGGTAGAAGAGGTGGAAGAGATGGCATCCAGGACCTTTGCCAGTCATAGGGGTGGAATGATGGCCACGACGGTATCAACGGCTCCTGCAAGCTTGGTTGCCTCTGCACCCTTGGGTATCGGTTCATCGCGATTTTGGCTGGATCACGGACCCTTTGGTGAAACTGAGTGCTGTAAGGCACGGCTGCAGCTGTCCTGTAAAAGCTCGCGTCTTCCTCTAGACTCTGCTGCTCCTCCTTTATCTTCTTCTTGATGTACGGGTCTAAGTTGATGGTGAAAGGCAAGAATATTTTCATGTCACTGACGAACAGTCTGGCGCGGTGAAAGGTGAGGCAGGCGTCCAGCTTGCGCTCGTCTCTGTCCATCTCCAGGAGGGGTTGGACTTCTTTCAGCACCGGGATTTGCGGCCGCACTCTGAAAAGTACAGATAGAGACACAAAAGTGACACGAGGGAAGACAAGAATAACAAAGTGGAGTTAAAAGCCTACGTACTTGTCGTAAAGGCTTTTCAGCGACATGTTGTCGTCCAAGTTGTCTTCGTACATGTCGTAGTAAAGAATGAGCGAAGACGTCCTGAACGGCCACTGCTCGGTGATATTGATCCAACTGGCCAAGTGGTACCAGTTGAAATCAATCTGGAATGCTTTGAGTAAGCGGCCTGAAAGAGCAAGACGGGCGTCATGTACGCGTCAACGGAACAACGATATCGTGACGTAGTTATTGTACTGCACAACTCGCGCATTACCAGTGACATAAACGACGTTCATCAACCTCCTCATGCTGCGCGGATTCACGTCGTTGAAGTAATCATCAGTGAGCAGCATCTTATTGAGATCCTGCGCGCCGCTTAGTCGATTCAAGTTGCTGCCTATACTGCTCGCAATCGACTCGCTCAAGCGCAATTTCCTGCTGCCCTTGCGGGTGTGAGGCTTCAGCTTCTCGTTGCTGTTCATTATCGCCGACTCCGTGCTGAGTCTCCGATTCGACACCGAGTGATGCATGGTGCCGGTGGCGGTGTAGTTGACGCTCTCCTCGGCCTCGGACCACGCGGTCCTCTTGCAATGCTGCGCGGTCTGCTGCGCCACTTTCACTTTTCGTAGACCGCTGTTTTGCAAGTAGAACGGAAGATGGACGATGTTGCGCAGGAAATCGTGACCGCCGATATTCGACTCCGAGAATAGTCTTCTGCTGTTGATCTCCACCGCCTGTGCGTACAATATTAAACGGCAATGGAACTTTCTACCTCTTCAAGTTGGAATGCATCGGACCTTTACACGGTAGATTTAAACTATTGAACTGTTTCAATCAATATTTGCGAACAATCTTAGTAGCGTTATTGATATTTATCATAAATTATCTTCTTTTAAAAAAGCCGTCATTAATCAATTATATTTATTTTCGCGACGGTGCTGCTCTTTCCCTTCTTTTTATTTTATTTCTAAATATTTCTCTTCTCTTTACGTTTTCATAATTTATACACTTATATACACTTTTTTGCTTTTGTGTCTTACTTTTCAACATTATATATTAAAAGGATAATCTCCCGTTAATAAAGTAAATAATAGTCATGATAATAATAATAATAATAATAACAATAAAAATAATAACAACAACAGTGCGTTATTGATAATCGAATATTGCAATCGCACATCTGCTGACCTTAACTATAATATGTGGATCGATGGCCAATATCACGATGAACGGATATCTGTTGTCGCTGAGTAAGGTCTGTATAGCTTCCAAAACAACTAAAACCTTATCCTGCTCACAACTGTCCAAACCGTCCACTATTATAACCAGTCTGCTTTCTTGCGCCATGAAGCTATCCAAGCACTTGACCTGTTCAAAATAGCGATTAGAAAGCGCTGACAAAGCTACGAGCCAGTTAGCCATGAGCGAGTTAGCGATGAGCCAAGCGGACTCACCATCTCCGTCATCAACTTGACTTCGCTCTTCAGACTCTGTATGAAACCTTCGCTCCTCAGAGTCTCCAACCTGGACATGCTCCGTTGGAGGTGTCTCCTTTGCGAAAATACCAGTGCCCGGAGTGTTCTGCTCCAGGTGTACAGATTAGCTACGACGCTGATGCCCAAAACCAAGGCGATCGCGATCATGATAATGTGAGAGGTGACCCGATCTATCGTCATCCTAAGATAAAACACGACGGACGGTCAGAAACGAATATTGCTATATATCGTGAAAAAATTATCGAGGAAATTTTTCGAGGAAAATTTCACTCCGCGATGATTGTCCTAAAATTTGAGGAGCGTATCCGATTGGTGCCTCTTCCATCACTCGGAGTCCACAGAGTAAAATTGTCTTCAGAAAAAAATGTTTTAGAATGTAACCTTAGTAGACGTGCACGATTAATTTTAATGAATCAGTACTTACTCGTCATTCGAGATATCCATAAGATAAATCGTGAGCACCGAGAGGCCGACTAACAAGCTGCAGAAGCAGAATTCGAATATCACTATGTACGGCAAGCAACACAGGCGTCTCCACCTCCACGTGGTGGTCGACTTGTCGGGTTTCGGCCGAAATGCTCGGTACAGTCTGGTGGACAAGGAACCGAAGTCGTTTTCGATACTGTCGTACAGCGAGCCGATCATTTGCACGACAGCGTGTTCGCCGGCGGCGGTCGTGCCAACGCGAGTTTGATCGGTGAAGTAAAACTTGATTGGCTGTACAGCTATGCCATCCTGGCGATCTTGACGAGACTGACCACCCGGAGGATGACAGAAGATCACTTGCAGCACCAGCTTCAGGGCATTCAGTTTCGCGGTGAGCGCCACCGTCAGATTGTACGGCCAGTACCAATCGTACCTGCGATTAAAGGCGGCCCGGATAAGTGGAAAAGCGGCAACTTTTGTCGCAAGCTGCGAGCGGGACGGTCTTACCTCTTGTTGGCGTACCACATGAGAATCAGGAAGAAATAAATGATAATTATCAGGCTTATTCCACATGAAAGACCGATGATCCACGACCGTAAGGTAAGGCCTACGGTGATCGCTACCAGTAAGGATATGTGGATTACTACTAGAAACAACAGGGAAGAGAACTGGAACACTGGGTCAATCCACTGTCGTGCGAAATTCTTCATTTCCTCTACAAATACGATACAATGATCAATATTATCGCACAACTGGAGCAGAAACGGGTACTCCAGAAGACTCGCGAAACGGCCCCGAAATCCTCGGAATTCAACGAACAAAGTTACTTTTAATTTAAACTGAAGACAATTGTATACCAAGATATAAGTATAGTTAAACGTTTCTCAATTTATACAATGGAATTTCGTTACATGAACACAAATCCGATGAAGAGTGCTTAGCCTTCGAAAAACGCAGCTTTTGGAATAACCAGCGGCGCTTGCAAACAACTGTTCGTTCGTACCTCTAAGTTTGTTCAGCAAGAACGATTTGCCAGAGCCCCATTTGGCATAAAGGCCGACAGTGATTGGTGTCGAGAGCGACGGCTCACTGAGGATATCTGCCAGCGCGCTGCTGTACAGGTCGTAACCGAGCATGTTCTCACTGTCTTCATTAGTGTTTAAACGACCTGCAAGATCAATTAAATTTTCTCATGGGACGTTCTCAAAGATGCGTTACACTGCTTGTATTTTTCACTCAATATGTCATAAGACGTGAGAGTCAACGTAAAAAATACCAAAGTGATCGGGCAATAACGAAGTGTGTGTATGTGTGTGTTTGATTAGGGGTGATGTGATATCACTGATATAGTGTAGTATCAATATTTTTATTTATTATCGACACATAACGATATGTCTCGATACAAAATACCGATGTTTTTTACTATATTGCAAGACAAATACTTCCCTGATTTTTATATTTCTTCTAATTTGAAATTTTCCAAAGTTTTGATATCAGTACTGGTATCGATACTTTTGTTCTGATATTGGTATCACTAATGATATACTCTTGATTAGGTATCCGTTTCAATATTAATATCGATACTTTTATAGTATCACTACATCCCTATGTTCGATCGACTTACGAGCACCAAATATTTGTCCAAGAATCGGCTTAGGATGATTGACATCGATGCTGTAGGGGGTCTCGCCTTGTCTGTTCGGACGGTACAATAACTGGCTATTCTTTGGGTTTCTCAGTAGCATCTCGACGATCGCTTTCGATTGGGCGCGCATCGCGATATGCAGTACAGTGTCGCCCTTCTTGTCCGTAGCCGAAACCTTGGCTTTCTTATCTAAAAGCAATTGCACCATTTCGGCGTTACGAGCCCTCACTGCCCGCAGTAAAGGTGTGTCGCCTTTCTCATCTTTCGTGGCAATCTCCAAGTCTGGGTTAGCGTTTAGTAATAATTTGAGTATCTGTATATGGCCTTTCTCTACTGCTATGTAAGTTGCGGTTCTTTTATCCTAAAATATATACGGTGGGGTGGTTAGTTACGACTGGAGCGGCTCGGTGCGGGGAAGAAGGTGGTTCACGCACGAACCTAGCTCGAAGTGGCTCTCTCACGGGTACCACGGTAACAATTCGCAAATGCGGAACACCGGTAAACCGGTCCGGATGCGTGGAAGTCACGGTACGGCCAGATCCGAGAGATTCGTCTCTCTCACGGAAAGCGCAACCGACTCGACGAGTACTCGCGAATTCCGGACGCGAGCGACGAGAGACCCGACCGGTCGTTCTTTTACGGTATGTATGCCCGAGCGATACGTTCGTGGAAATCCGCGTTGCGTGAGAAATTGGTGAGAAGGAGACGATGCTCTCTCTCTCTCTCTCTCTCCCTCTCTCTCTCTCTCTCCCTCTCTTTCTCTTTTTTTATCATTTCTTTTTGTCCATTTCTCTTTCCACGTCGATCTTCGAGGAAGATACGCGAGTAAGGGGAAGACGAGTCGGAGACGTACCTTGCCGGCGACGTCGACATCTGCATATTTTTTCAACAACGACTCCACTACCCCTCGGTGATCGCCTTTAACGGCATGGATCAGATTCGTAGTGCCAGTCCGATCGAGGATATTGACGTATGCGCCGGCATTCAACAAAGCATTCACTATTTCGTGATAACCCCCTCGGCAGGCTATCGCTAGTGCCGTGAGGCCGTCTTTGTCTAGAGCGTTCACGTTTGGTTTGTGATCCAACAGTAGTAAAACCACTTCTACGTGATTACCGAGCGCAGCCACGAGTAACGGTGTCCAAGAATACTGAAAAAGGAAAAAGAAATTTACACAAATATCGGAAAATAAATGCAAAATGTTAAAATTAAAAAGAGAGAAAGAGAGAGCACTAGTGTGTCTCTTGATATGTAGAAGGTAAGTGCGAATCAACAATAGGTATAGTAAGTTTTTAACTTTATTTTTTTCTAAGCAATTAAATGCATGTAAGCAAAAGACGTTTTTGGGTGTACATCAAATATTAAAGAACGAAAAGAAGAAGAAGAATTCACAATATCATATTCAGAACTTGTGCATGACAAAACAAAATTTTCTAAATATTTACAAATATATATCATTGTTTAATTTTTATAAATATCTCTCCCGTCTATCTCGAGACGAAAGAGATGAATTCTCCTTCATGGCTGAACGTCTATTAATATTGATCGTCTACTGATTGTCTTTTGACCGTTTCGTATTCTCATTTGACGATCATAGAATCGCCGCGATCTAGATTTATTTCGAATCTTATGACTTCAGTTCTCTTCTGATTGTCGTTTAACTTGACCATGACCGACAATGTAAATACAAACTCGAAAAAGCATTGAATTTAATCGGAACGATATCTGACCGGACTGTGATCTGACCGTGATCTGATCGTGACCTGACCGATAATATGAATCGAACATTACCATGCCGGTTGTGTCGACGTTAGCTCCAGCCTTGAGAAGAGTATCTACGATCTCTACGTTTCCCTTGCGCGAGGCCCACACGAGTGCTGTGGTGCCATACTGGAAGAAAAAATAAAAATAAAGAAGATAACAGGCACGGATGATAACGGGAGAGTGAAGGCAGCGAGCGACACGGCCATCGATTTACTACGCGTCGACGATTACCTTGTCGCCGACATTGACCTTCGCCCCGTGAGCAATGAGATCTTTCACTATATCAGGATAACCCCTGCCAGCGGCCCATAATAACGAGGAAATATGAAAATTCCCGTGCGCATTGACGTCAGCTCCTCGTCCCAGCAGCATCGTCACCGTCGCCGACCTGCCCTTGTAAGTCGCCCACATAAGTGCCGTCCATCCTCCCTGCAATAAGATAATTCATAATCCTTCGCGTGGTGTCCTATTTATACATAGAAGTACCCACTTTTACCTAAACGCACTCGTGCGGTTAAGTAACCCAGGTTACGTTCGTTACATAAACCCGTTTGCCGTTCAAAGTAGAACGCACGATTCAGCAGAAAGGAGATTCCATCGATTGACAATGGAAACTATAATTAGTAATGTACATATCGTATAAATCGGGATTAAAATTATACGCAGGGAAAAAGATTCCTCTGGGTTTAATAAAATTTCTTTAATTAAAACGAATTTATCTACTGGAATAGAGCAGACGAATGTTTTCGGTTCAACAAACTCAATTGCTTAATTTCTCAAACAATAAATATCTTTAAATTCAAGTAACATTTCTTCTGCATATTTTCTTTGTATTCTCATGCAAACATTACAATGGTTGTCGCAAGCGATAAATTTGAAAGAAATAATATTATGTTAAGAAAATATAAGAGCACTCGTTTCTTTTTTTGTTTCATTGGAACATAATATTTAATAGGTAATTAAATAAATTCTTTTTATCAAAGAGAAATATTATTTCCGCTAAATAATACTGTTTTATCTATCAGACAACATGGTTTACCCTTGGAAACATTTTTCACTCAAACAAAATCATGTTTGATATTAAATCATGTTTATATAAACAAGTCAAATAAACACGCGTACTAAATCCAAAGAAATCTTTCTCTATGTGCACATATATCGATATGAATAGGAGAGATTTTTAATCACGCGCGGGGAATTAAAGCAGCGAAGCTTGGCGAGTCGCTCGACGGTAAGAATTTTTGTCATATCACTGCGCGCTCCAGTTATAAATTCGCGTTAATGGCACCGCGCCAGGTAAATGAAATATGTGTGACTTCCTCTGACCATGTCCCGGTGCTCCAAATCGGCGCCGTGCTCCAGCAACTCGAGGCAGATCTCGGTGTAGCCTTCCTTCGCCGCGCACAGCAACGCTGACCAGTTGTCCTGAAACGAGCAAATGGCGCGCAAACACGCGCGCGTTATAGCACCTCGCGACAAGCAAGTTCCGGGTACGCGATCAGGTGTGTACGCGGGCAAAAGTACCAACCGCGTCTTCAGCATTGACGTCCGCTCCATGATTGATGAGCGCTCGGACGAAGTGTATCTTCCCCTTGCTTGCTGCGAAGATGAGGGCGGTGCTGCCGTTCTACCGCGACACGAACGAGACAATTTGTCAGGGCAGGTATGCGAGCGGAGGCCGAATTTCGTAAATAAACTCGTCGTCGTCCCTCGTGTAACCGAGGCAGCTCCTCGCATTCGCGGGCTTATCTCGCGACGAGATAATCGACGTGCATATTTTATATCAAATTTACGCAACGAGATAAGCGCGAGTGACTATACTCGAGATTGTATTATTAAAATTCCGTTACACAACGCGCGACATGTGTTATATCTCTTGCGAATGCTTCGCGAATCAACATTAAGATAATGTGTTATGCGTCGATTTAGAAATAAGCGGCGTAGACAATTTTACGCGAGGAGTTTGTCCGACTAATGCACGTTTCCACTATCATGGTTGAAATCTAACCGACGATTAATTCAACGGATTGACCAATCGCCAAATAACCGGACTGTTCAATCCCGTTGAGTTAATTGTCGATTAGATTTAAGCCACGATGTTGGGAACGTGCTTAAGAGAGAACAATCGAAGGGGGATCTCCTCGGGAAATCCCTTCGGACGATCCACGAGCGCCGTCGTTGTTACCTCATCCCTGTCGTCGATCTGCACTCGCTTATTCTCGAGAAAATTCTGCAGTTCGGCGAGATTGTCATCTGTGATGTGGCTCACGAGCGATCGGTAAGAAAGCGATACCATGGAGTCAGTCCGATGCAATGTCTGAGGAAGAGCCGAGAAAAATTGTTAGACACGGGGTGTGTTGTGCGATCCCGTGGGATTTTCGCTCGTTAAGAGATCGTTAGAGCAAAAAAACTCATTGTTAGACAAAGAATTCCAGCGCAATTCGTTAGACAAAGAATTCAGTCGCAGAAAAAAAGAAAGAAGAGACAAGACGAAGAAAAACGACGGAAAATCGACGCCGGACATTTGGCTTATACATCGGACTTCATTAATGCTGTCCCATTCCCTAGACATTGAATTTCCCAATTATTCTTGAATATTTGTGCGATCCGGGTGCGAGCGTCGATTTCGCGTCGCGACAAGGCAATCTCACACACAGCGCGGCACGAGTATCAATCTCAAGCGAGCACGGTTATCCACCGGGCAAACCCGGCGGTAATCTTCACCTCCTGAGATCTCGATTTACCCGGAAATTCTGACTGGCAGAGGTGGCCAGAGGTCTCGCGACCTCATATGATCTTCCTCCTTTGCCTCTCCTAGAGATCGAGCCTTTCGATCTCGACTTCGGGAAAAGCAATTAAATGGAGGCTCTCTCGACATTCAATACCGGATATTAACACGTTTGCCACCAGAGTTTGAGGAACTCTCTCTACATATCACTTCTTCTTTTTTTACGTAATTTTACATAATTTTCACGTAATATCACTTAATTGTGTAAAATAAAGTTAGTTTGATACGTGGACATGGAAAAATAAAATTTTGCCGTCATACATATGCGGTCTCTCTCGTGAAAGATCACTTGTGTGCATCGCAACGTTCGCGTACAAACAGTGGGGTGTGCGCGAAAGTGTTGCGTAAGAATCATCATTATCCGTAATTGCGTTCCCGTTTGACGCCCGCAATTGGAGCACGCGTTCTCCCCGTTCGCGAGAGAAGGAGGAAGAACGTCGCTGGTATCTGGACTGGTATGACAGTGAATGACGGACGCGGACGATAAGAGGCGATCGCACGCGGCGGAAACGGCGGGACGACGAAGAGCCGACGGCGTTGATTGTGATGTACTGGTGATGCAAAACCGTGCAAGTGCCGTCGACGGCATTTCTTCGCGCAGCGTTCGATGCGACGCGCGACTTAATGCTCCATTGTGTTGGCTTTCCCTGTCACGGCTTTTCCTTCCGTCGTTGACACCGTCGACCGCCACGCTGCTGATTTCCATTGATTGCACACTTGGTTTCAAGATGATTTCAAACACTCCCTTTTCTCGATGTAGAAAATTAAAACGCCAAAGTCAATGGTCCAATGAAAGAATTTGCTTTGATTAATTCCCAGAAGTTAAACTCTCTCATCGGTCCATTGGCTGCATTCCAAACTGCATTGAGACAAAAAAACGTACAAAACAACCGTATTGAAACCAAATATATAGTCGATGTCAAGTGTATGTTATATTATTCCCTAAGTTGAAACTTTTTATTGTTACACAATTTTTAGCCTTTCACATGTGGGCACAAGGAAAGCTATTATAAAAGATTAGGATCACCGATTGATGTCACATTCAACGTGTCAACTATTTTCTATCCTCTCGCGTTTATAACTGTAACACGTTTCCACGTGTATCTTTGCACCCTGTTTGAAACTGTCTGTTTCACGTCTCGTTTCGCCACTTGCATCGTGTCGCGTTCTCAGTTTCGTCTCAGGATCTTTCGGTGTCGGACACCGCGACCTTACGGATCGTTAATACGCGAGAAAACGGACAATCAAGCAACACCGAACGTTAGAATTGTGCGACGGTGTAGTTTCTCTTCACAAAGCCTACGTGTGGGAAGGCAGTGAATGACATTTCGCTAACGTGTATTATCGACGAAATCTGCGCGAGTCGACACGCGTAAATCGACTTGGCATTTGCGAGGCGCGTGCGAGAAAGAGGCTAATGCTGCTAAGTATACCGTGGCATTAAGGCACCGTACTTAATCCGCCGATCCGTAGAGCCCTTTGCCCTATTCGCGCGACGACACACTGTGATAAAAAAAAAAGATTAATTGGCACTTCGAAATATCAGGTAAATCAAAATTCGGTCGATACTGCGTCTAAAAATATGTCCACACGAAGGATTCGTCAATTTAGCTAATACCACCGGGCTTTTGGCTATTTTACACCGGAAGCGAGCCGGAGCGGTCGATTGAACATAAGATTGATAATCCAGCCGCGATTTACGCAGTAATTCGCGTGCAACTTTGCGCGAGAGAGAGAAACGGAATTTCTGAAATACATTTTCGCACGCTCGTGCCGACCTTCGCATACCTTCCTGTCTCAAAGAAAGATCTCGGGATTCCGCTTCTTCGAGGATCGCAGCAGTCACCCTTCGCTTACCTCAGCTCGAATTCTACTGAGCAAAAAGTCCGATGCTACGTGCGTGGTGCATACATATATACACACAGAGAAAGATATATATATATATATATATTCACACAAAACCCACGCGTGTACACACGGTTAGAAGCGCGTTAGATCAGTTCTCCACTTCATGCGGTAGATTTTGTCACTTCGCTGAAATCGCTGACGGTATCACACACCTATGTGGCAGACGATACTGACGCACGCTTTGCAACGGTAGCGAGTGTCACTGTGTTAATTCGCGAGCTTCGTGGCAGATATAGCGCAAACATCAGCCTACAAGATCAATGACAGAACCGAGTCGAACAGAATTCTATTATACAACGCGCACGTGATACTACGTGTCGCGTTTCCACAAGAGTCTCAAAAATTATCCGAATACTGCTGTTTGTTGCTGAAATATTTCTTCACCGAATTACTAACCGATGATGACACCACCACGAGCTCATTAATTTACGACACGTGCAAGCCTTATCAGGCCCTCTTCGCAGATGCTAAAAGCAAATAAACTGAAAAGCACGATGATAGATTTAACGGACGAGTAATTTTCCAACTGCAAGCGATTTGAGGATGAAGAATAAATTGGCACCACGTCGGTGGAGATATAAGTAACACGTACAAGTAAACGAATTCAAAGTTAAAAAATAATTCAAAAATAACGTCAATAAGAAATAAGTAAGAAATCTCAGCTCACCCGTTAGTCGGAAGATCGTAAGAAAATCGTTAAAAGAATCGCGCGTCTATTTTGACATCTAACAAGTCATATCCAACAACACTTTTAAGTATTATCAGACATTCCATTCGAGGCTCGACTGTAAAGTTGTCCTAGTATAAACATGAATCATGACGCACGACGATTTCGGTCCAACTATCATCCATTCGCTTTAATACTCTTTATGAATTGTTCAATCAGTACCAATATGATAACGCGTGCCAACAGACAAGAGAGTCAACTGTAGTCTGAGATAATTATTAGATCACCGGCCGTGACATCGGTCGTCATCCGCAGATTAGCTGGGTGGTAAACCAACTAAACGGCAATTTCGATAAGACAAAGGTTCAGGCCGCGCCGGCTACTAAGACGTCGATGTTCACCGGCGGTAATCTCGCCAAATTAACGTTTTATTATCCGCGACGGGTATCGTGCAATCGGTTCTCGTTTCGACTCGGTTCGATCTTAATCGGGCGTGCGCCAGTTGGAAGCGTAATTCATTTCGATCAGAGCGTGTGCCAGTACACTCTGGAGTCAAGCGAATCGGCTGGTATTTCCCGTGGAAAACGGACGCGTCACACATGTACGTGCACACACGTCTAATTGTTTTCAACTACCGTCGTTCACAGAGACACTCGAATCAATGCCTGGCCAATGTGACACGTTGCGTTAAATTCAGTTAATTTGAACGAGCAAACCGAAGTTTGCTTTAATTTAAACAACATTTACTTGAATGCAGCATGTATTTCTCTGCGTGTGGCTAAAGGTCGACTAAATTGAGAGAATTTCCGATCTCACGGACGGTTTAAGAGACATCCAAATTAGCTGCATTTGACAACTGGTTGGATTCCTCCGAGATGGAGTCGAAAAAGAGAAGATCGGAAAGATCGTCGAAAAAATCGTCGAGCTTCGATAACGATCAATGAACATCCTCGCGAAAAACGATTTCATAATCACAACGAGACGCAACGATCGAAACGAGACGTCGTTCGGCGTTCGTTCCGACATTTTACTCAAGCTGAGAGATAGCTCGGTTTGGCCGGACGATGATTCTCTCTTTCTCCCGCCTTCCGCAGCGCGATGTTAACCAAGGAAAACGGAGAAACGACGTGCGTCCGGCGCAACAAACTAACCGCCTGCGAGTGCCTGCGTATGGCGAAGTTGAACTTGCGCCCGGTGCCGTCGGTGGCCGGGGCCGTGAAAGTGATGGTGGGTACGTGAATGTGCGGGAATACATGGTGATGATGGTGATGATGATGATCGTGCTGCTGTTGCTGCTGATGATGATGAAGATGATGATGACAGTCGTCGTCGGCGTGCCAAGAGGCGCCGGCCGGTTGCTCGGGTATGTGGAGACGCAGGAACTGTCGCAGCCTGCGCCCCCCGGTGCTCCTGCCGCTGGAGAAGGCGTCGTCGCTGGCGACGGTGGAGGTGGTCGACAGGTTCGACAGGGTCGCGCTGCGGCGTAGATCGCCGTTGCCGTTCGGCAGCAGGGTGCTCGGCACTCCCGGAATGGCGCCGAGCAGGCTCGGCGCCAGACTCGAGCAGATCGCCGCGTTCGCGATGCTGAACTTCCGGATCGGGTTCACACTAGTGCCGGCCACGATGTCCTCGAAGGTCGGCGACCTCGTCCCGTGGATCGCAGGCCGGCTCAGATCGCCGGCGCTCGTCATCGGTAACGTCAGTCTGCGAGCGCCGCTCTTGCCGGATTTCTCGTCGTCGGGAGCGTCTTCGACGGTGACGGTCGTGGAATATTGCGACGCACCATCCGACGACGCTTCCTCGTCGACGGACGAGCTCCCCGAGGACGGAGAGAAACGGCCGAGGGATCTCGAGGTCTCCCGAGGAACATCGAGGAAGCTGAGTGACGGTCGAGAGCGTCCCAACTGGCTCGTCGTGACCGAGCTCGCGAGAGCGCGCGCTGAACGGTCCCTGGTTGGCGAAGAGGAGCGAAGCCTCGCGGGTGACTTCTGCGTGAGCGAGCGATCGCGCTTGAACGCGGAGAAGACTTTGTCCGAGTCCGTGATCGGCACCGTAAGTCTTCGCGTTGCGATCGCCGGAGTCTCCGCTAACTCGTCATGTCCTTGCTTTTTCGCATCTGGTCCCGCGTGCTCCTCCACGTTGCTCAAGCTCGGCGAAGCCTCCGAGACGGGAACAAAGCTCGCGAAAGAAAGCGAGCCTCTGAGAGCACAGCTTTCCGCGTGCAAGGTGCAAGCTGGAGGCTCAGGCGCGGCTGAACTTGAAGAAATCTCCAAGCTTGAAGAAACTTTATCTTTTCCTGCGCCATTGGCTCTTCTTCCGGGTTCTTTACACGGAGATAAATGTGAGACGATTCCCTCTGATTCTTTCGTTGAGATTTTATCTTCTTCCTCATTGTCATCGTCGTCGTTGTTATTGTTATCTTCGTCGTCTTCGTCGAAGCTGGCTCGAAAGAGAGCCGTCGCGATCTTAACACACTCGTCCTTGGCCTTCTGCATGGCATTCTCCTCTGGCTGTCTATTCAGCGCGAAAATTGGAAACTATCTTCACTGGTAGTGAACCACACACGCGTACACACACGGGATTTTGCATCTTTCGCAGCATCGCCACTCGACTGGGTGCACTCTTCGTTGAACCATCATCGGTGTGAGCATTAACGGATGACGAGTCGAGCATCCGTTAGAAAAATATAAAAATACAAGCTGCCAAGTTGTGATTAATTGGTAAATAAATGTGCGGATGTTTCTCGAAGATGATCGCGCGGGTCTCTCGGAAAGTACAACCTACAGTTCCCAAATATGTCTTTTCGAACGATCGGGCGTTCACGGACAAAAAAGAAAAAAAAAAGAAGCGAAGTGTGTTATTTCGAATTGACTGACTTACGGAAAGTGAAGACTCAAAATCGTGGTGTAATCTCGTTTTATTTTCGCGAGGAGGTTTCGTCACGCTCGTCGAGGTGTGACAAAAACTGACCACGAGTGTGGAAACGCGGGGATCTCACTTTCGCGCGATCCCGGCATCGAAATCTCGACTCACTGACGTTCCCTCTATCCGGTTTCGGTCCTTGTCACCGTAGACAAGATCGTCGTCGAAGAGTTCGAAACAGCGTCGATCGTTATTATCAAATATACCAAGAGAGTGAGAAAGAGAGAGAAAAACGGACCCTCGACAGAGTAGTGAGCCTGAGCATCTTTTCCGGATTTCGCGCGGTCCCCAGGTGCGAAATCGGCCCTCGTACGGTTGCTGTTGACACGCGACTTCCTCGCCGCCGTCGTCGTCGTTCGGTGGGAACGAAATAAATCGGCGGGATATCGTCGAGTGGTCGCGACCGCGAATATTCTCGGAGGCAGGCACCGGCACAAATCGTACGAGAACATCGCGCGACATTTATATATCGCGTTGGGATCTGTCTAAGCTCGAGTACATATACACATATAGTCCATGATGAATCATATGTGCGCGCCTCGACGCGCACAACGACGCGCGCTGCGCGTCGTAAGCTCGCCCTGGTAGGAGGCTCGTTATAACGCTCGGGTCGAGCGTTACTTCGCGACTATTTCAACACGGCGCCGATAGGCGCTTGAGAAAAGGATTTGCGAGGACGGGAATTTAATTGAATTGATTTGTCGCGAGCGCGATTTTTAAACGCGGAAATTTATATTCGGCGGGTGATGCAATACGGAGGTATCTTCGTGAAAGTCGCGAGGCAGAGGAGCGTGATGTCGCCGTCGCATCGATCCGGCAAATTTTATCCCAATCGCGAAAAGAGAAGCGAGATCAAAGGGGTGTTTTGCAAGCGAATTTCGGAATTGAATTAGAATGCCGGCGACGCGCGAGCTTCTCGGCGGAAAATGAGGAACAAAAGCGTCTCATCTTACATAGAGGTGCAAAAGCGAAATTTCGTGACTCCCGTCGAGGTCAAGGGAATTTTTCAGCTGTGAAATGCACCAGGTGGAAGGGCGGGTGGATTGAATTTTACATTATTTGAAAATCGAGTTGAGAAGGCGCCAAGTGTTAATTCCATCGGGCGGTCTCAGTGGCAAATGCGGTGCGGCGCGGAATGAAAATGTTTTGTTGCTTCGCACGCCCCGGCCGCTCGTGTTACACGCAGGGGAGTAAACGTCGTCATTGCTCGCGCGTCATTGCTCACGATCCGTGCGAAATCGGCCGCAGAAACGGAGTTTCCGGTTGTGACTGAGAGATGTTTCTCGAGATAACAACGGCCGGGAGAAATACGACGGGGCGGCCGACGTCACCGATTCACGATAACACATTTCGCGCCACAGCGGACGTGTAATTGCAGGCGTTGCAATCTTCCGCGATTAATCCCAGCCGGGGTCTGTGCAGACCGTGTGTGGATTCACGCCGCGGTGGCGGCGGATTTGATACAGCAATTAGCCGCGATAAGCGAGCACCGGTCAAATTTTTCTTCGTGTATCCGGTGACCCAGTTGAAAGCCCAGCCGAAAAAACACGAGCACAACCGTTCGATCGATATCCCGGAATATTTCACCCTCAGGTAGTCGCAGTATCCAATAAATACCTCAGTGGAAATTAAACCTCGTGGGTATCCAGCCGCGAAGTAACATTTCTATTCGGACACCATTCTAATATTCGAATATTTATCAATTTGTTTTTTATTTATTTTTTATGTACTTTAATTGCCTAGTCTATTAGCCAAGTGCTGATGAAAGAAAAGTTATTTCAAGAAGCAGAAGAAAATAATAGGAGAATTAGTTATATTGAAATTGGATAAATTGGATAATTGTAAGACGCATTGCGACCATTCAAGGGTGGAAAATATTACGGCTAACGGAGGGTTAATTGCGTGCCCAAATTCACGACTGGTCTTGCGTTCGGCCGATCGATCGGACACATTGTGTAGTTTCGTGAATTAATCAAGTAATAATTCAGCGCGCGCGCCATTGACGCGGAATCTCTCGGACAATATTCGAGAAGACTGCGTGGTTGGTCGATTATTCGCCGAGAAAACAGGTCAAACGATTAGCGTCAAGGCGCAATTGAAGGAACGTCGCGTCTTGAAAAGGAGGACTCATCTCGCGCGCAAGATCTTGGGAAATACTTTCTTCCTCCGTGGTGCAGCGCGTGAGACGTTTCGATTGACTTGTGAGTGCTTATACGATAAATCAAGCAACCAGTCTTTGTGTGAAAGTTTCCTGAATTCATTGTATGACGTCGCAACTTCGTTCGATATGCTTTCGAGTGCAAATGTTTGTACTCGAACTATGTGATCGCGCGATACAGAAGATTCATCCGTGCGAAATTTCAGAAGCGTCCTCTTCGGCAAATTTCAAATTGTTTCCGGCGAATTGTCAAAGCGTGGGAAAGTCACGTGCCTCCGTGGGTTTGCTCTTTTCCGCGGAGAAGAAATAATTTGCTGGCACAGCAAATTTTATGCTGTCGTGACAAAATCCGTCAGTTACTACACAACGATTCGTTAAAAATTGCTATTCGCTGGATTATTTTGCTGGATCTACAAATTATTTTGCCGTAAGAAAAAATTAGGAAATGTAGGAAAATAATGTATTTTGTTTTAACAGCAAATTAACGTGTCCTAAAGACAGATCCATTCAGCATAATATTTTCTACGAACAATTCCCTAATTTGGTTATGCTAACTAAATTTTATTGCCGTAGCAACGATGATTTCGCTACAACAGCAAAATTATTTTTCTCCATATGTCGGTATGTCCATTTTACAAATATTACAGAATAAGAGAAAGATGTAGTAACAATTAGAATACAAAATATGTACAAAATTAATTAGAAAAAAAAATAAGAAAAATGATAAAAAACGACGTTCACGATCGTTCGCGGAGTGCACTGGCGAAGAAGCTCGGTATTTCGAAGACACTCTATATGGACGTCGCTCTTAGATGCTGGCTCTCCGGCGGTTAGTTCTCGCGCTAATCCCGGCCAATTAAAGCGGTAAACTAATCAATTGCGTACGTGGAATTTTACTGGGTCTCATAAAACGAAACGACGTCGTTCGGCAACGGAACAGCGGCGGGCACGCATGGAGAAATGTATCGAGCTAATAACGCTATCGCCTCACGCCAAATTGCACGGCGATAAGACTCGCGCGTTTACGTTCCGCGCGAGTTGAACTTCGCCATCTGATTAAACAAGACGACGGCGGCGGCGGGTAAATAAACCCCGTTCGGGCGGTCTGAATAGATATTTCGCTTTATAGAACCAACGTTCCGAAGGACTCGCGACAGTAAGCGCTTCACGCTGGATAGAGCGAGGACCGGTATCACAACGTGGGAAATCGAGCAAGTGAGAAACGCCGCCGACCTGTCGCTCGTGTCATTTATCTTGACAAGTATCCGGACGAAATCTTGGCACGCTTCACGTAGCACGAGATGAAAGAGAACGACGACAGCTTCATTCATGAGATATCGCCCGACGGTGTATTTCGACGCTAACAACCGATGTAATCCGCCCGGAGATCGGCAATTACACTGAGGGAAAGGTTTCCTTTGGATTTAGTACACGTGTTTGTTCGACTTGTCAACTTGTCCTGTGGACAAATTCACTCAGCAGAATATTTTCTATCTTGGTAAAAAAAAGAAACTGCTTCTGCTTTAACTACGAATAATTTGCTAATTTGATTACGCCAACTAAATTTTATTTGTTGTCTTTATTTCGTTGCTGTCGAATATGCAGCAACGATTCGCTACAACAATAACTTTTTCATAAACAAAGATCGACGGCTGGGACTTCTTGAAAATTAATCGGGATCATGACTGTAATAAGATATTTCAAGCTCGTCGAAATCGACGTTGAGGTCGCTCCTATTCTGTATAATGCCCAATTATTTTCCCCGTGCATTCCCTGCTATTTTTTTCATCAAGATTTCATCTTCCTCCAGTTTACGGCAAAGAGAGCACAGATGGTAACAAGCACACGCGCAGGGAGCGAATTCTAAACGAGCCGGAAATCATCGTACGCATCGTCTACCTGCTTGCTCCTGTTCCAGAACGATTGAATCGCTAATTGGCAGGTGGAGAGAGATCCGTAGGTCCTGTTCGATCCTTGCGAGTGCAAGGACGAGGCGGATGCATTTCGCCCGTTGGCACTCAACAGGCTCGATCTCTCGTTTGTATATTCCATGGAACTGGAGTCGACGTCGGAATCGTCGTGCTCCGCTTCGCCGCCGCCACGAGCGCGAGTCAGCCGGACGATCAGCCGGGAGCACGTGGCGTACATCCGCTTTTGATCCACCTGTCCCGCAATGAGAGGAAGTTTCGCGACCCGGTAACGAGCGCGCGTCACACTGATCCGCGACGCGCTATTTTCGATAAACAACGATCGGCATTCCACGGCGGCTTCGTGCGGCGGCAAATGGTGGCTCGTTCGTTATCCACGCTCCTATCCTCACAGGACACATGCCCACGTGTCATCTTGAGTACGGGGACGACGGAGCGGGATGAAACGGCGGCATCTTCGATCGCGAATACGCACGAACCGCGGGTGTTTCTCAAGCGAGTCCGATTCGACGCGCGATCGATCGCACGTGAGACGATCATCTTGCCGGCGTGCAAGCACCGTTAGTGCCACGTCACATAACGTCACGAGTTGGCTCGTTCGGTCGCGCTTTTCGCCGGTGAATCGAATCAGGTATGATGTCCAAGGTTGCGGTTGCCGCGTTCGTTTCGGTCAATTTCCAGGATATATTAGATTGTCGCGTCCTCGGCAGTCCCGCCGACGATAAAAATCGATGCCTCGTCCGGCGCGTCGCGTCACAATGAAACGAAACGGAATTGCGGCACGACTTATCTTCCTTCTCTCTTCGGCGACGAGTGTTATCCGCACGAATCGTATGCGTCAGCCCCGCGAGAGAAGTGCGTAGAAGGTCTCGGGGAGACAAACAGGAAATTGTGACGCGATTACGCGTGACCCTTCGCGAGGCAAACACGCTCGTTGCCAAACGCGTCACACTCCGCGAAATTTCGCGAAACGCGCTACACACCGTGCATCCTGCTCGCGTCGCGGACGTTTAATCAGGCAGGGTGATGCGTTCCTTTGACGGGGTCCACGTGGCTCGGAGAACTCGTCTCCGGGGTGCTCCACGGAACAATGACGGAGAGAGGACTCGCGCGACCACCGTCGATCTCCCTGGCCGGGGACGCGTCACCCCGCGGCCGATGCACCACCAATCGACGGAAAATCACGGCGACGGACGGCGACATAACGGATCATCGCCCGCGACGTCGTCGTGACTCACTGATTATCGCGAACGGTACAATCACACACTCGCGTCACGATACGCTCGGGGAAGGTCCGAACGGCGAACTTTACGTTGACCGCGCGAATCCGAGAGCCGGCTGAACTTCCTCGCGACCTCTCTCGCGCGAACCCGATTGCTCCGGTGGCGATATTCCGCGGGCGATGAACCACTGCCCGGGGAGGAGATATGCGCGATCTAAGGCGTATGTGACCAATTATCAATGCTCCGCGCGGCCGTAACGATTGATAAGAAAGAGCGGGAGCGTTGTGCGCGATATCCTATCTCGAGATAAGGAGGCGAAAAGGAAACGACTACCCTCACGAAGGTGGAAAAACATGACTCGCGCGATCCGATGGTTATTGACGATTCCGTTATCGGCGTAAAAAGTACTTCTGCTGAGTGAATTTGTCCGATTTGAATTGACAAAACAATGGTGTTAAGTCAATGATAGATATTCTCATATACAAGTCGAGCGAATTTGTCCGTTTCGAATTGGAAAAAAATGGTTTTAAATCGATGATAGGTATTTTTATATGTAAGCCGAGTGAATTTGATCGACTCGAATTGGAAAAAGAATAGTCTTAAATCAATGATAGATATTCTCATGACAAGCAAGAATATTATAATCTTCTTAGATTTTTTAGATTTTTTTCTGAAAAGATTCTTAGAAGATTTTTTTAGATTCCTGATTCGGCTGAACTTGTATTGGTGCAAGTATCACTTGAACTCGATTCAAGACTAAAAAGAATATAATATCCTCGCTTATATACAGAAATATTTATCATTGATTTAAGGCTATTTTTTGCTGTGCGACGAAGAGGAGAATCGAACCGAAAAAATGAAAGTGGTGTCGCGGAGAGAAATAATTCACTGACACAGCAAATTTTATGCTATCGCAGCAAAATCTGTCAGTTATCATGTGAACAGCAAAACAATTTGTTAAGAGTACTGATTGCCACTCGCTGGATTATTTTGCTGAATCTACAAATTTATTTTGCTGTAAAAGGAAATTAATGAGTGTAGGAAAACACTAGTTTGTCCTAACAGCAAATTAACGCGTCCTACATAGTAAAAAATTTGGGGTCAATGACGGTCCACTGAAGTTTTCGTGCTACTTTAGCAAAGCGAATATATTAATCTAACATATATTTAATAATAATCTAACATACATTAACAACAATTTCATATAAATTTAACATATATTTGTGCACTTTTTAACATATTCCCCATATTCAAGTAACACAAAAATTTCAATGGACCGTTTTCAACACATATTTTTTTACCATGTAAAAACAAATTCATTCGGCAGAATATTTTTTTTATCCTAGCAACAAAATGGTTTCTGCTCTAATTACGAATAACTTGATTGGCTAGTTTGACTGTGTTAATTAAATTTTATTTTATTTTATTGCTGTCACAATGAATATGCAATAGTAACGACGTAGTTTCGTTACAACAGCAAAATTATTTTTCTCCGTGGGCATCTCAAATTTTTCCGTAGGACAGACATCAGCGGGAAAAGCAAAGAGACACAGAGTGAAAATAGGACAAGAGTAAGGCGGGAAATAAGTCGCTCGTAAGACGCTCGTAAGAGATTAAGTGTTACAACCTTTCCACGCTTTGTTTTCCCAGTTTTCTCACGCATTGCCGACGACGACGACGACGACGACGTCTCGAATTCTCGATGAAACCGGCCGGCCGAATATGACAAAGCGAGAACGAGCTCACGACTACCTCTCCTTAACATCGAACGTAGATTTACATCTTCCAAAGATACCGCCGGCGATGGTCGTCGAGTGATTCGTCGTGATTCATAGCGCCACCGATTGAAATTTCGCAATTTCGATTTCGGACGCGCGGCCAGCGACACGACCGACGGATCGCTTACTACTGAATCGTCGCGGGCGACGATTTGCTGATTAGTCGTCGGGAATGACGGTTTTAATTAGATTACTCGTTCACTAACGACCGTCCCGACCGGATATCCCGCGTCGACGCGGCCGTGGCCTATTTTGGCCGGAAGACCTAACCCGCCGGCGCGCATCTAACGCCGTCCGAGACGATGATAACGAGAGATTATTTGGCGAGGAGGAGGAGATCTCTAGTGTCTTCGGGAGAACGGAGACACATTAATCAGTGTCGCGCCCAAGTCCCAGCGTGCATTACTCGGCTGGCGCAACTACCACGGTCGCCGAAAATAGCCGGCCGCTGTTGAAAGCCGCGCGCAGAAAGAGAGAGAGAAGCCGCGAATCACCACGGAGGAGGAGCGACCCCGCGGTGCACCACGCGGAAGCCGGAACGTCGGTGAGGAGCAACAATGCGTCGACACCGGCATTGTTTTGATGCGCCCGGATAAAATTATTA